TCTCTTCTCTCTCTCTCTCTCTCTTCTCTCTCTTTCTCTTCTCTCTCTCTTTCTCTTCTGGCTCTTTCTCTCTCTCTTCTCTCTCCTCTCTCTTCTCTCTCTCTCTCTCTCTCTCTCTCTCTCTCTCTCTCTCTCCTTTCCGTATCAATCCCTGAGGACTTTCGGGGTCCTTCGTCAGCCCCGTCGCCAGCTGCCACGTCCGAGGGGGGGGGGGCGTCCTCGCTCCTTGTTTGCTTCCCTTGTTCCTTGATTTATTTATTTTGTTGTTTGTTTGTTTTTGGTTTTTTTTTTTTATGTTTTTTCGTTTTTGTTTTCTTCCTCTCCTCCTCCTCCTCTCTCCTCCTCTTTTCCTCCTCTTCCTCCTTCCTTCTCCTTCTCCTCTCCTCCTCCTCCTCTCCTCCCTCCTCCCCTCCTCCTCTCTCCTCTCCTCCTCCTCCTCCTCCTCCTCCTCCTCCTCCTCCTCCTTTTGATTAATATCCGGAGGAGGAGGAGGAGGAACAAACAGTTAATAGGAGCGGCGGCAGAAGTCGGCACGGTGATCATTGTCGGTCAGACAGAGAAGGAGGAAGGGGGGAGGAGGAGGGAAGGAGGGAGGGAGGAATGGAGAGGGGAAGGAGGGAAGAGAGAGAGGGAGGAGGGGAGGTAGAAGGAAGTATAGGAAGGAGGAGAGAGGGAGGGAGGAGGGAAGGAGGAAAGGGGGAGGAGGATGGAGGAGGAGGGACGGAAGGAGAAGGGAAGGAGGGAAGAGGGAGGGACGGGGGAAGGAGTAAGGAGGGATGGAGAGAGGGAAGGGAAAGAAGTGGGGTGAAAGGAAGGGGGAAGGACAGAAGGGAAGGAGGGAGGTAGAGAAGGAATAGCAAGAGAGGGAGAGAAAGAGAGAGAGAAAGAGAAGGGAGGGAGAGAGGGGGGGAAGGAATTCCGGTCACAGTCTCGTTCCCTTGATGACTTGAGGAGGAGGGGGGGGAGGGGGGAGGAGGAGGAGGAGGAGAGGAGGAGGAGGAGGAGGAGAGAAGAAGGGGAAGGAGACGAGGAGGAGAAGAGAAGGGAAGAAGGTAAGGAGGAGAGGAGGAGGAGGGGGGAGGAGGGAGGAGGAGGAGGAGAAGAAGGGGAATGGGAGAGAGAGGAGAAGGAGAAGAGAGAAGGTAAGGAGGAAGAGGAGGAGGAGGAAAAGAATAAAAGAGGAGAAGGAAGGGAGGGGAGGAGGAGGAAGCAGAAGAGAGGGAGGATAAAGGGGGAGGAGGGGAAGGAGGAGGAGGAGGAGGAGGATGACACAACTTGTCGCGTCGCTTCTGTGGGTTTCCGACGACGACGAAAAAGTCCCCGTGCAGGAAACCCCTATTTTGGGGACGTAATCGCAAACCCCCTTTTTGTTGAAGGAGCGGGTTCCTTGGTCCCCTTTTTTTTGGGGGGTGGGGGGGAGGGAGGAGGTAGGGGGTAGAGGAGGTAGGGGTAGGGAGGAGGTAGGGGGTAGGGGGTGTCGTTAGTAATTTTTGTCTCCTCTTCCTTAACTCTCGGTTCTTGGTCCGTCGTGTTTCCTCTTTCTTCTTTTCTCTTTTTTCACTGTTCCATCTCTTTATTCTTTTGTATCACTCTTCGACGTTTTCGGTTCTCTGTGTCTTCCCTCTCCACTTCTCCCTCTCCCTTTTCCTTCCCTTTCCTATCCTCTACCCTTTTCCCCTTCTTCTCTCTTCTTCCTCTCCCTCTTTTTCCCTTCCCCTTTCCCTCCCTCTCCTCTCTCCCTCTTTTCCCCCTTTCCCTCTCCCCCCCATTTGTCTCTCCCTCTTACAAATGAGTTTTCTTTCTCCTTTTCTTTTCTTTATTCTCCTTCTTATCCCTTCCTCTTCACTTACGATAAATAGACTTTTGTGTGTGTTTGTGTTGATAGATATATAGATGGATGTGAATATACAGATGGATATTGATTTAGACCAACACTTGATTTCAATATAAGTGATTAATATCAACCATTTGAACCAGTTGATTTCAGTATAAGGAATTAATATCGAACATTTAAACCACCACCTTGATTTCAGTATAAAGAATTAACATCAACCACTTAATTCAACACGGATTTGATTATAGTTAATATCAACCATTTAAACCAACTGATTCCAGTATATGCAATTAATATCAAACAATTAAACCAACACTGATTTAAGTATAAGCAATTAACATCAAACAATTAAACCAACACCGATTTAAATATAAGCAATTAACACCAACCAGAGCCTAACCCTTCTCTCCCTCTCTCTCCCCGCCCTCCTACAGACGCCTGCGGCCTGAGCGACCTGGCCCACATCGAGGGCCTGCAGGAGAAGTCCCAGTGCGCCCTCGAGGAGTACTGCAGGACCCAGTACCCGAACCAGCCCACCCGCTTCGGCAAGCTCCTTCTTCGGCTCCCTTCGCTCCGGACGGTTTCCTCGTCCGTCATCGAACAGCTGTTCTTCGTGAGGCTCGTCGGCAAGACGCCCATTGAGACGCTCATCAGGTGAGGACTCGCGCGACGGTAGAGTGGATAGGTGGATAGGTGGATAGGTGGATGGATGGATGGATGGATAGGTAGGTAGGTAGATAGGTAGATAGATAGATAGATAGATAAATAGATAGGTAGATAGATAGGTAGATAGATGGATATATAGACAGATGGATAGATAGATAGATAAAAGTTTTTATGTATATTTAGTGTTTAGATTTTTAGATCTTATTTGTTGCTTATTTGTTATTATTATTTATTTTACGGGGATGCATATATATATATATATATATATATATATATATATATATATATATATATATATATATATATATATATATATATTATATATATGTGTGTGTGTGTGTGTGTGTGTGTGTGTGTGTGTGTGTGTGTGTGTGTGTGTATTCAAAATTGTTTAGATTGTTTAGTTTTTATTCTATTTTTTCTTTCTTATTTGATATTGATTTCATTATTCACTTATTTCCATTTATCGTTTATATAGCGGAAGGAAGTTTATTGATGTTTATTGAGATACTTTGATGTGTTGATAAAACTTTATTTTTTAAATTATTATTATCATCACTATGGTTTTGAATATTATTATTATTATTATTATCATTAGTATTATTATGAATATTGCTATTAATCCTATTATTGTTGATATAATGATCATGATATATATTATTATTATTATTGTTATAATCACTATTACTTTTGTTAATATGATCATGATTAATATTTCCATCACAATTGCTAAATTTCACTCTGATCCACATTATTACTATTTTAATTATTATTGTTACTGTATTTTTACGAATACTGTGATTGCAGTCATTATTCTCATTGTCATTATTAGCATTATCGGTGTCATTATCCTTACTGCGATCATGATCCTTATGGTCGTCAGCGCCCTTCTCCCCCCCCCTTCCCGCCCGTTCTGACCGCCTTCCGCCCGCAGGGACATGCTGCTCTCCGGCTCGACCTTCAACTGGCCTTACATGGGCAGCATGTGACAGGCAGCTCTGGGCACGAATCCCACCCTTCCTCCGGGGACCGTGCCCACGTCGGCTGCCTCTCACGCCCTCACCTCCGCCGCCCACGCCCTCACGTCCGTCGCCCACGGCCAGACCTCGGCGCACGCCCACACGCCCGTCTCCTCCTTCCAGCTGCCCACCCTCGCCACGGCCTTCCGGTGATGAACCGCGGACGCCTCGCCGCCGCCGCCCAAGCTCCACCGCGCCCCCCGCCGCGGGCCCGCCCTCGCGCCCCTTCGCGCGCCCGCCCGCCCACACAACGACCGCAGAGGGCCTCGGAAGCCCCTCGCCAGGCTCGGTGGCTGGCTGTCGCCGCTGGCCGCCCCGCGCGACGGCGGCGGCGGCGGCGCGCCAAGGACGGGGAGGCGCGGTGGCGGCGGCGGGCCGTGGGGCGGCGGCGACCGACGGAGGGACGCCAGCGCCTCGCCGCACGAGCCCCCGAGAGGCCTGAGGATCCTGTGAGGGGCGCGGCGGGAGGAGCGGGCGCGGCGGCCCTTCGCTGCGGCGGAAGGAGGGCGGCCGCGGGCGCCGCGCCGCGAGGGACGGCGCCGGCGAGTCCACGCGGAGGCGACGACGGAGCTCCGCTGCCCAAAAGACAACCAAGAAAGAAGTGAAAGAAGAAAGAAAAGCGACGCGAAGCTTGCGTTCAGAAACACAGCAAAACAGGTGTTGTAACGGAAAGGTGAAGGAGAGCGCCGCCGAGGCGAGATCCGTGCGCGGTCAGCAGCAGAGGACAACCGACCCCCGTGGGTTTAGCGAATCCGTTGAGGAAAACTGTGCATAAACTACAATGTACGCGTTACCTGTTCTTGTATATGTGATAACCGGAGACTCCAGGACTTGGCCGCAGCGCGAGCGACGTCTCCGGTTGAATCCATGTATATTTTGTACATAGTAAGTGATAAGGTTTTATACTCGGGCGCGCTGGCTGGGTTGACCGCCACCTCACTTGTACAGGAAACCTGAGCGTTTGAGAAAAAGTGCTCCCAGCGTCGCCCTCTTACTCTCCCCCTCTCCCCCTTCCCCCTCCCCCCTAAACTCTTAGAGGAGAAAGAAAGAAAAAATACAGATATAACTTTCTTCTTTTTTATATATTAAAAAAAAAAGAATATCATTTTGTTGAGAAGGACGATAAAGAAAAGACTTTTTTGGAGGAGGAGAAAGGTGAGGAGATTCTTCCGGCCCTCCGCTCGTTCCCGGAGCCTCGTCCTCGGGGCCCGGCGCGAGGGGGGGGCTGCTCCGTCGGCCTCGGTCCCGGTTACGCAGGTTGGCCTCGGGTGTTGCGTCGCGCGCGCAAGGCCGAGGCCAATCTCGGATATTTTTTCCTTTCGTGCTGACAGTTGTCTTAGCCCTCCCCCTCCCCACCCCTGTCCAGATCAGATTTTTTTTCCTTTTTTTTACTCTCTTTTGGTATGCCGTGATCGAGCGACGTGTTCACTTGCCAGAGATGAGGAAGAGATGTTTCAAGATCGGGTTTTTGTGATATGTCA